CTCTTTCCATATAAATATTTATCACTCCAAACGTGATATCAATTGCGACTGTGTCTTGGAACAATTGATATCGCGGCAACTATTATGCAAACTGAGAGAAAAATATAGTTGCCTTTGGCGTCAACTATACGCTTTTGTGATTTTAACCACAAAAACAATTAGAAGAACCATTGTTTTAGTAAGTGTTATTAGAAAGATGATTCTTCTAATTATTTTTCCGGTTAAAATCACAAAAAAGTATAGTTGACGCCGAAAGCAACTATATTTTTCTCTCAGTATATATACTTCAAATCAATATTAATATTATTGAAATAAAATAGGGCCTATAAGAACTAAGCATAGGATGAATGTATACCCAAATTTTCATTCAAAATTGTCTTCTGGCGAGTTGCTTTTTAAAAAAAAATAAATAAAATTTTACCTGCAAGTTTTGCGTGCGATGTATCGAAGAAGACTCAAACTTTGCATCGAAACGTTTACATCAATGATAATTAATCCTTATTCAGAAGATAAATTGAATAAAAATTTTGGCATATCTCTGTTCAGCTCTCTTATAGGCCCATTTTGATTTTTCGTCTCGTCTTTTGATAAATTAATATTATCTACTCGCGGTAATCGGGAGAGCTCTTTTCGCCAGATTGCGGGACGGCCGCTTCTCCGCCTCATCTACCGAAGGCACAAACTGAAATATATCTGCGCTGTAAATCTCCATTCCCCTGATTGAAATTTACCGCTCACTTCGCCGAGCACGATGCCCGCTTCTTCAGCGATTCTCTGGCGCTCACTTCAGCGCGTTCGCGAGTTTTCCGGGCGTGCGACCGAAACGGTCTCTTACCTCCTCGCGGATCTCGCGTGCGAACGGCATTACCGGAAGGCATCCTCCCCTTCCTCCCCCTCGCCCCCGTTCTCCCCCGATCGCATCGCCGGCCGCTCGGCAACGGTCGGTTTTCGAGAAACCGTTTCGCACGACCGCGGGAAAAAGTTTTACGCGCCCGGCAGGCCGGCAAAAAGGAAGCGAAGCGCCGTTCGCGCTCTCTCTTGCAGTTATCTCTCGTAATTATTTTCTATACGCTCGACCAGCTTAGAGGCGCCCGCACGTACCAAGGACTCCTTTTTCCCTCCCGTTCCCGTCTCCCGCCCCTCCCCGCTGTTCACCTGCACCTTCCACGACCGCAATTTTACGATCGACCCAATTTTTTTCACCGTTTCGCCGCCGCCCCTCCGATCGCCGAGAGCCGCGGCCGTTCCTCCATTCCTGCGACGCGCCTGCGAAGAGCAAACATTGCACGCCGCGGCGAGCCGCGCAATTATAAGAAAAATCATTTGGCGGAAGGAAAGGTCGCGCTTTACGATCTTTCGCGGGCGATTTCTATGCCGGGGCAGCGCGGCGCGAGAGAGGAGACGGTCAAGCCGGACTGTTAAGGGTTCTGGGGAATCGCATCATCCATCTCTTTTTAATGACGTCAGAAGCGAGAAAACGCATGCTAAAAATTCTTGTAAAATACATCGAGATAAACAGATATATTCACAAAACGACATTTGCAATCGATTAAATACACCTCTAACATTCTCCGTACACTTTCCTTTTATTCTAAAAATCAATGGATAATCGGAAAATTAATATGACAAGATAATGAGGAAATGAGGTTAGAAAAGACGATTGCACGTCACATTTATTTTATAATTATCTGTTGATTATTAGAACAAAAGGAAAGTGTACGGAGTATTTTAGAGGTGTACTTAATCGATCACAAATGTCGTTTTGTGGATATATCTGTTTATCTCGACGTACTTTGCAGGAATTTTTAGCATGCGTTTTCTCGCTTCTGACGTCATTAAAAAGAGATGGATGATGCGTCTCCCCAGGAGTCTTAAGAGTGCGATTTTGTCGCGTGTGCAAAAAACGCGGGGCGATTATCGCTATTAGAGGAGAGGTACAGTGGTGCGCGAATTCCCTTCCTTTCTTCCTTCCTTCCTTTTTCTCTCGTGATTCTACACGAGTGAACAGCGCGTTGAAGCTTCGAGTTGGTTGATCTCCGATACGAGCGAGCCCACGTTTGCTCATCGCAGGAAGAAGACTGTTCTCTCATTCCGCTCGGCTTTCCGGTTACCCACTTTTGACACGAAGATTTGCGCAGTCACGGCATTTTCTTCCCCATTGAGTGGGGGCCGACTCTAACGTGGCTCTAATTAAAGAAAAGGGAGATATCGCGCTTCTTATTCGCGCGCGCCACGAAGCGGATCAAAGCAGGAAATTACGCTTATTACGCGGAGACGTAATAAAAATCCGGCGTATTGCTCGCGCTCAGGGAAGCGGATCTTTCATCGCTTCTTCGAATCGCGCCACGGCCCGCGCGCACTTAGCGCGCGGCACTAAGCAACGGACCTATTGATCCATATCCTGCGCAATTTGTTTGTTACGGAGTGAAGAAAGTGCGACGGTATAACCGACAAGCTGGATTAGTCAGCCGTCCGCGTTATTGAGAAAAGTGCCACGTCCGGGGCCACATTCCGGAGCGGCATATAATCGTCGGTAATAAGTTTGGATCGACTGCCGGACACGGTTTAACGCGTTTTATACGACTTCACGAAAGAATACAGCGGAGAGACAGACGCGAGATCGGCCAGAAGGGAAACGCGGGCTCGCGAGCCAGTTATACGAGTATTCCCGTTCAAACATCGAAAGTCGCGTCTTGGAAGTTCTTTATAAAGTCTTACAAGTCCAATAATTACATTGCTGCGCGAAGTAATAATTACTTATCATTCATAATAAGCAAACAGGGTGGATGAAATGTGTGTTATGTGTGTGTTTGTGTGTGTGTGTGTGTGTGATGTGTACGTCGTATGTTTTGTTATGGACATTCTGACGATCACTACTGAAGTCATAAATAATTTACACAGGATATACTGAGACATTTCTTCATTTAGATCAGAGTATACTAAAGAGTCAAATTGTTGAAGCGAATTACCTCAATCAGAAGCTAACTATAAAAGCATGTGTTACCAAATTTATTAATCAAAAGTAACGAGAAAAAAGACCTAATTAAGAACCAAAAACACAGGTGTGATAATGTTATTAAATACTAACTGTATCAAAATTTGTTAGTAACTGTCTTCATGGATGTATAGAAGTAAAACAATTTTTTATTATTAAATTAATGTACAACCAGTAAAAAAAATGGTTGTACAGTAATTTAATAAAAATGTTTTTACCTCTATGTATCCGTAAGGACAGTTACTAAAGCCTGATTTACAATATGTTCTTTGCGTTCAATTTCTTGTCTTCTGTCTTTTCTGGCTTAAAGCCTAATCTACAATATGCTCGTTGCGTTCTGTTTCTTGTCTTCTTTCTTTTTCTGACTTAAAGCTTAAGGTTTGAGTCAGAAAGAGATAAAAAAGAAGAAGCAGGAAGCAAAGAATATATTGTAGATCAAGCTTAAAGCTTTAGGTTTGAGTCAGAAAAAGATAAAGAGAAAGAAGCAGGAAATAAATAACATTGTAGATCAAGTTTTACAAATACTGATACAGTTAGACTTTAATAACACTATCACTCCTGTGTTTTTGGTTCTTAATTAGGCCTTTTTTCTCGTTATTTTTCATTTTATCAATAAGAACTATTAATTTTCCAAACTTATTAATTTTGAAATCTTGTTTCAACACGTCGACTGCAATGGTGATCTCCAGTGACAGGCCACTACGGTGTCATCACGTCTCATTAATTTACAAGTAAAATATAACTAATTGCATCGAGTGAATTAAGTGTGCGGCCGATAGAGAGCTGGTGAATGTGTGAAACAGGAAACGAACAGATTCACCGTCTTCACTTTGGTCAGTTAGAAGTTTTGAGACAAATCGTGGAAATCAGGATGGCAGTCGACGTGTTAAACAATTCGGAATCGTTACGCAATCCTCGCGCGCGGTGACGTCTTCTCGATGGAAATCAATGCGATTTAGTTAATGAAAAATAAACCACATGAAACAAGGCTTCTTCAACGTACAATATGTGCGCTCACCATTTCGCGTCGAATATCCCATAGCATTCCCAGCCGCCCATCGATGAATCCATGCAGCGTCCCTCAGCATGCAACTCCAGCCTCCACAGCGTTGAAACATCATCTCGCGTTGCTCGTACTTCACTCACTTCACTGCACTGCACTGCACTGCACTCGCGACGATTTTAACGGCGTTTAATGCTTTGCCGTGAAGTACGCGATAAATTCCGGTGCCTCGAAAATGTACTCGTGGTCGCCAACCGCGTATGAATAATGGCGAACGGCGTTGAACGATCGCGAAGATCAACATACTTTTTCGATCAAATAAACAGGAAAAGCAAGCTCATCTCGCATATTATTACAGCTCTCCACTTCGCGAAAGAATTCTGATTCTGAAAAAAAAGAACAGTTGTGTCAACCAGAAAATTAGCAACATATAGCATAGCTTTTCTTTCTGTCTTCAAGAATCAATTCTTGATTACATTGATCTATCAATTCGTTGTCTCAGAAAATGCGTTTTCTTATATAAGTCAACATAACCAAGAATTGGTTACTGAAGTTGGAAATAAAAACTATGTCATAATTCATTGTTTTCTGGTTGACACGATTATTCTTTTTTTTTTTCGTGTGGGCAAGTAAATAATACGCTCGTTTAGAGGAACAATTTTCTGATTTTTTAAAGTGACGCTTTTACGCGGACTGCACAAACACGCAGATGCAAAGCTCCTGCGAGCCAAATAAATCACATTGATTTCCACGAGACTCGGTAAACCATCATTGCCAATAAACCCCTCATTTTTCACATTATTTTCCCGACTCACCGAGATATCGTGAACTCAGAGCCAGCCGCGTTCTCCTGCAGATCTCTGGAACAAGAAAATATCATTCCGCTTAATATGACAGCTTACGACTTTATGAGAGAAATGCGCGCAAATATGAGCGTTTCAACTTTGCGATCGTTACCGCCCGACGCTTCTTATCTCGACGTTTGTATTTCAGTTTCCAAGATCGTGAAGAATTACACGGGAGAGTACGGGCGGTCTGCGAAAACCTACCTTCAAGCCAACTCCGCTCGATCCGAACCAGATCCTCCGGTACGGCATCCTTCCTCCGCTGAAAACTGCACCCCAGGGAACCGCACCTATCGTGTCGCCACCACCAGGTCTGAAACAGAAAGTGAGTTTCACGATTAGTTACGTCAATATACACGAGCGAAAATACGGAGGCTCGAAGCTCGTGTATCTCTCTTTTTAACCAATCAGCGTGGACTTTGGTGATGAGCAAATTTTTTTATCGTATAAAAATATTTCTTCACATCTGACTCTGGCGCGTTTATGTCGCGAAATTTAAAAATGGATTGCATTGAAAGATATACAGGGTTGGCCAAAAGTCTGGATACACCCAAATATGTCATAAACGATGCATTTTAGAAAAAAATGTTTCAGACAAAAGTTGTAAGGCTTAAAAAAACGCATTCAACGATAGTAGTTATTTGACATAGGATGGCGTCCCCAAGGTCAGAACAAGGTCAACTTTGCTTTTTTAAATAGAAATACATATTTTTTATTACGGCATTTTATTCTACGTAAAAAAGCAAACTTTTGCTTGAAAAAAATTTTTTATACGACCTCTATTTTCTAAGATATTTACATAAATATCTACAAAATTATTGGTTTCAATAATTTTTTACTTGAATTCTATCAACTTTACCGGAAAATATCAAGAGATAAAAATTATATATTTTGTTCTCATAGAACTTTGAGAATTTTTTCAGAATTTTATATTAACTTTTTAGTACTTCATTTTCTTGCATTTTCTAAGATATTTACATAAATATCTACAAAATTATTGGTTTCAATAATTTTTTACTTGAATTCTATCAACTTTACCGGAAAATATCAAGAGATAAAAATTGTATATTTTGTTCTCATAGAACTTTGAGAATTTTTTCAGAATTTTATATTAACTTTTTAGTACTTCATTTTCTTGCATTTTCTTGAAGTACTAAAAAGTTAACACTTTAAACAATTTTAACAAGTTAAAATTTTAAATTTAAAAAGTTGTCTGCTTTTTTACGTAGAATAAAATTCCGTAATAAAAAATATAATGTATTTCTATTTAAAAAAGCAAAGTTGACCTTATTCTGACTTTGGCGACGCCATCCTATGTCAAATAATTACTATCGTTGAATGCGTTTTTTTAAGCCTTACAACTTTTGTCTGAAACATTTTTTTCTAAAATGCATCGTTTATGACATATTTGGGTGTATCCAGATTTTTGGCCAACCCTGTATACCGAATGAGGTTGTATCACTTTGACTTTACTTTGTCGTTCAAGGCTTGAAACTGTGCACGCTATCAATTGTCATTTTGTCAAACTGACGAAACAGACAATCACCAATGAAGACAGAGTTCGCAATTTCGAAAAGTAAACGATATATATCGAGATAATCGCGAAAAGAAGGCAACATTGAGTTTATATTTCCTTTTTTTCTTTTTTTAATTTTTTAGCACACAGAATGATAGGATTTTTCGTTTCTTATTTCCGCGAGGCACAAGTTCGGCGTCCAGCCGTTTATCGGACATGATAATTTCGCGTCAGGATGTGCGGACTTTTTGCGGCGCGCGCGCGGCCATTACATCCCATTGTGTAACTAGGCGGATTTGATCCACATTTTTTTCTCGTTCCCCGCAGCGGCGGCGGTAGACGGTGACGGACATCCCACTGAAAAATCTACGCTTTAACGCGGCACACGGGCGCAACGCGACAGCAGGAGGAACAAGGCACGCCGATGCACTCGTGGAAAATGAAATACACACACACACAATGGCTGCAAGCTGATACCGACGCGCGGGGATTGACCTAATATCCGATGGAACTTTCTATAGAACACCGACACCCTCTACGCCCCTGTGAGCGATCGGCTCAATTAAAAAAGCCCGTGAAAAATCTGACACTTCTGTCGTGTCCGCACGCTTAGGACGCGCTCGTGTACTTGATTAGGTCCGATTTACAATAAATAGAGTAAGGAGTAGGAGTAAGACGAAATGAAAATAAGGCCCGATCTACAATAGATGGAGTAAGAAGTAGGAATAGGAGTAAGACGAAATGGAAATAATTTATTTCGCTTACTCCCTTACTCCAATAAAAGTTTGCCCGTCTACATCACATGGAGTAAGTCTGAATTAAGTAGTAAGAGCTGGAGTAAGGAGCTGCAGTAAGGGAGTAAACGAAATAAATTATTTCCATTTCGTTTTACTTCTACTCCTACTCCTTATTCCATCTATTGTAGATCGAGCCTAATTTATTTCGCTTACTCTCTTATTTCAATAAAAGTTTGCCCGTCTACATCACATGGAGTAAGTCTGAATTAAGTAGTAAGAGCTGGAGTAAGGAGCTGCAGTAAGGGAGTAAACGAAATAAATTATTTCCATTTCGTTTTACTTCTACTCCTACTCCTTATTCCATCTATTGTAGATCGGGCCTAATTTATTTCGCTTACTCCCTTACTCCAACTCTTACTACTTAATTCAGGCTTATTCCATATGATGTAGGCGGGCAAACTTTTATTGGAGTAAGGGAGTAAGCGAAATAAATTATTTTTACGTCGTCTACAATGGCAGTAAGAGTAGTAGTAAGAAATAAGCAGTAAGTAAATTGACCAATTTCATTCTCACGTTTCAAAAATAATCGATTGTGATTGGTCTGTTTACTTACTGCTTATTTCTTACTACTACTCGCGTAGCGCGCAAACCGTATAAAAATGTACACATCGCGTCGCTCTAAGATGTCGTGTCGAGATCCTGATTATACTACATGACGACCCAAACACTCGGAAACAAAAAACGAAGGCCCTCGAAATTTGTTGATTTAATTCGAACGTAACTCTTTGCACATATAGAATGCAACAGTCGTACGTAAAGATCAGTCTGATTTGGCTGATTTTAATGCGGATATTCTTTGTTGAGCTGCCAAGACGGTCACGCCGGAGAATTATCAACGCTCGTCCGTATAATTAGCCGCCGAACAAACCAATCGCTCAGGACGACATAAGGATACCGGGCGCGATGACGCTAACGCGGATTCGCCGTGGAGCCTTTATTTCCACCTTTTCGTAAACTCACGCTCGCGCAATTTCGAGGGACCGATGCCCGGAGACTGAATGAGGGGATGACACGGTTAGGGGTAGCGGGCTCTACCCCTAAAAATCCAACTAACCCTCTGCTGTCGCAGCCGCGTTCTCGCGCGCGCGGGATACCCGCTGTTTTATATTTCGCTCCTCTTTTTTTCCTCATTGCTGAATCTAACGCGCCGCTTCTTTCTCTCTCTCTCTCTCTCTCTCTCACACACACACACACACACTCTCTCTCTCTTTTTTTTCGTCGACACATGTGCGCGACCGCGTCCGCGTCGACTTCACCGATCAGGGTAATGAGTCGAGCAAAAATTGCCACTACAAAACGCGCGCCGGCGTGACTCGTGAATCGCGGTCCGCTCGTGAATTCGGCTTCTCACACGTGGGCAGAGGGGAGCAAAAAAAGGCGAGAATCTGTTTTCTCTCCTTTTTTTTATCCTCCTTTTTTTATCCTCCATCGAGGAAACCGGGCGAGCTTGCCGGATGTTTAGACGCGCGCGTCCGCGCGATAATCGATCTGAACGAGAAGGGGGAAGATCGTGCATCACGACGCGTTCCGGTTGCACATCTTTATCAAAAATAATCCGATACACGCGCGCCTGAAGTTTCTCAAAGATGTCTCACTAAGAGTACTTGAAATCGATCAGTAAGAAATATTCAGTAGCTCGTTTATTATACATGAGAGAGCCTGTCGAGCGTTTTACACGAATGACAGCGCGCTGGTATAATTGGTTTACATTCCTCCTCGTCTTCTAGCTCCAACTCGTCGACTGCCGAGTCGAGCTGCTGTATTCGGCTACAATGTTATCCGTAATTTTGCGACTACATGTTTCACAGTGGGAAACAATACTGTTCCAGGTACAGAGGCCCCGAGAGAGAGATGTGCCAACTCGGATACAGCATATTCGCGGGCCACATTTGGATTACGTCATTCGCACGCACACAAAGGCGCTCACCAGTCGTGAATCAGCAACAAAAGCATCGGGCCGATCTTACTCGAGCGCGTGCAAGATCTCGAGGCGAAGATCGGCGGAAGATCGCCCTTCTTGCCTCCTCCTGCTCCTGCTCCCGCGGAGATCTCGAATTCACGGCGCGGCGTGCACGATCGATTCTCCGCGTCGCGCAACGCTCGAACGAACTCGTCCGGCTCGCCGATGGAACAAATTACTATAGATATTGCGCGCCGCAGATCGCCGCCGAAGTCGCCGCTCGGACTCTGCTCTTCTTGCGCCCGTCGTTTCTTCTTCTCCGATGACGAGGAGGACGAGGAGAGGACGAGGACGACGACGACGTCGTCTACCGTTAGGAACCACAGAACAAGAAAAGTAGCGCGCGAAACGAAACGCGGTTCCATCGGCTTCACGCCTCGTCCGCGCCGCCGAGCTCTCCTCCGCGGCTCTTCGCCGACCATTGTCCGGAAGGTCAGTAATGCCCTTCTTTCTCGTCTCTTTGTCTTTTCCCGACCGAGTCGTGTCTTGAAAACACCCGCGCGATTAACAAGGGAAACCGGAGGACGACCAAAGTCTCGCTTGTCGGTCACGAGACATCTCTACGCGTGAGCTTCGATTCGACAGAGTTGATTAAACGAGACGAGGTATCTCGATGTTCGATTTAATGCTCGCGTTGAGAAGTTGTTTAATACTTAATTCGCGAAAACTAAAGAGAGAGAGAGAATGAGTTGTGGAAAATTCAAACGAGGAAGCAATATCGATTTTCAAGAGCGATACGCCACGTCCGATTCACGTCCACGTGCACACTTCGCGCGCGGCAATTGTTTAAATAATACGGCGTCGACGATATGTTAGCTGTGTAAGTCACACCGCCACGGGATCGGATATAAAATCACGCGCGCGACACGTGGCCTCACCGGTAACATACTGAAGGCCCGACGAGTATCGAGTTCGTCGCCCTGTACATGTGTGTGTCGCGTGCACGCGTGTATATGTGTTACGTACGCGTGTCTGTACGATCGGGGTTGGGTTATTATTATTTAAAACAACCCTTCGAGCGATCGTGCAGGGGGTAAAAGCCTCGAATCCAGGGGTTGTAGACCGGAGAAAGGGGGAACTCTAAAAAGTTGGAAGGGTGAACGGTTTCAGGTCCAGGTGCCGGCCGACAGCCTCCGGGGGTTAAAAAAGGGGGTACGCGAAAGGGGACTTCTCTCTCTCTCTCTCTCTCGCTCTCTTTCTTTCTTTCCTCCTCTCAATTTTTTCATTCATCCACCCCGCGGTAAAGGGGAATCCGAGAACGGGGGCATGCGAGAGGCTTCGAGGGATTCATTCGTTCGGCCCGAGAACACGAACGGAATCACCAACGGAGACGTCGTCTCTCTCGCGTGTCGATCGAAATCATGAAGAAAGTACAGCACAATATAGACTGTACGATCGAAATAACGAGGAGAGTACAGTACGTTGTAATGAATTTTAGTGTAACTCCCCAATTCTCTCTCTCTCTCTCTCTCTCTCTCTCTCTCTCTCTCTCTCTCTCTCTCTC